ATCCAAGGTCTGTGGTGACTCCAGTGAATTTTAAGATTTTTTTTTCACCTGTGAAGAGTAGCATTGGAATTCTGAAGGGATTGTAGATTGTATTGAATTTATAGATTGTTTTTGGTAGGATGGCCATTATCACAACATTAATTCTTATAATCTATAATGATGTGAGGTCTTTTCATCTTCCAGTGTTGTCTTCAATTTCTTTCATTGTAGAGATATTTTACTTCCTTGATTAGGCTTATCAGGTATATTTTTCATTAAATTTTTTATGCAATATATTTTGATCACATTCTTTCCCCTCTCCCAGCTCCTCCCAGCTCCTCTCCATCTCCCTACCCACCCGACTTCAGGTTCTCTCTCTCTCTCTCTCTCTCTCCCCCCCCCTCTCTCTCTCTCTCAAAACAAAACAAAACAAAACAACAAAACCCAGCCCTCCCCCACAAAAAAAAAAAAACAACAACAGGAAAAACAATAAGAAAACTAAAAATGAAAATAAAAACAAATTAAAAAAGGAAAAGGAAATCAATATGATTTTTAAAAATATCAAACAAAACAAAAAGCATACACAGGTACACAAATATGGAGTTTGTTTTATGTTGGCCAACTACTCCTGGATATGGAACCTGCTCTGGAGTATGGTTGATATACCTAGTAACACTCCATTGCAGAAAACTGAGTTTTTAATTTCCCAGTAGGTATCATTACAAATAGGGGTAGGACTTTGTGTCCACTTCCCCTTCTCAGTGTGAGATGTGTCTGGTTTGAACCTGTGTAGACCTCGTGTGTGCTGTCACGGTCTCTGTGAGGTCATCTGTGTGCCAGTCCTGTTGTGTCTGGAAGACACGGTTTCCTTGGTACCATCCGTCCCCTCTGGCTCTTACGATCTCTCAGCCTTCTCTTCTGCATAGGTCTCAGAACCCTCAGGAGGGATGTGGTGAAGACATCCCAGTTAGGACTGAGTGTTCCAAGGTCTCTGACTCTCTATATGTTGTCGAGTTGTAGGTTTCTGTGTTTATTACCACCTATTGCAAGGAGAAGTTTCTCTGATGAGGGTTGATCTCCAAGAATACAGCTTTGATCTATGAATAGAGCAACGTATCTTAGGAGTCACTTTATTGCTATGTTCCTCTAGCAGAATAATGGTGGTAGATTCCCCCCTAAGCTCACGAACTGTCTAGTCTTAGATTCTTGGCCACTTTGGTGCTGTCGTGTATAGGCTCCATCCATATCATGGAGTGGGTCTTAAGTCCAATTAAAAAATGGGCCGGGCGGCGGTGGTGGCGCACGCCTTTAATCCCAGCACTCGGGAGGCAGAGCCAGGTGGATCTCTGTGAGTTCAAGGCCAGCCTGGTCTCCAAAGTGAGTTCCAGGAAAGGCGCAAAGCAACACAGAGAAACCCTGTCTCCAAAACAAAACAAAACAAAACAAAACAAAACAAAACAAAACAAAACAAAACAAAAAAAATGGTTGGCTACTCCCACTATTTCATCAATATATCTTTCAGGCAGGTCTCTGTTGTTGATTCAAGGGTTGGTTTCTGCGTGAAACCTATGATTGCTGTTCTCCTCTGGTAGTGTGCAAAGTACTTTCCAGCACCATGAATACTATTTAAAGTGGTGAAGCTTCTAGAAAGGTACCACCTTGATTTCTCCATGTTCGTTGACATGCGTAAATTGTGTCTTCGGCATTAGGGTCTCACCATCAGTGGAGAGAGTATCCAACAGCCCTGGCAGTAGCTTATCATGCTGGGCAGTGGCAGTGGCGGGGTCCATGGGAGCCCTTTGGCCAATGGCTCAACAAGAAGTAAGCTGGCACTGGAGGTTTGAACTGGTGGCATGTCTAGTTGGAGCGTTGTCTCCTCGGTTATATGGTGACTCCATTTAAATTTCATTCATCTATGTGTATTTCAGGAAGCTTCTGCAATAGCAGGTTCTCATATGGCTTTCCAAAGGGCCTTTGGTATTGTCTCTCTCCACATTCCCTCTTTACCCTGTCCTCCCATCCCTTCCCTACTTAATTCTTCCTTTTCCCCCTTTGTCTCTTTATAACACTACACTCTATTTCCCCTTCCTTGGAATATCTTATCTCTGGTCCCTTGCTATCAACTTAACCTCCACGGTTATTTGGATTGAAACACATATATCTAAAGTTTAAAAAGTAACACCCACATATTAGAATAGAAAACATACAACGTTTGTCTTTTGGGGCCTGGGTTACCTTACTCATGATGATTGTTTCTAGCTTTATCCATTTACCTGTAAATTTCATTTTTCTTGATAGCTAGATAATATTCCTCTGGGTAAATATTCCATGTTTTCACTGTCCATTCATCAGTTGATAAATATCTAGGTTGTTCCCAGTTTCTGACTATTATGAATAGAGCAGCAATGAATACAGTTGAGCAAGCATCTCTACAATAGGATGAAGCAACCCTTTTGCGTATATGCCCAAGAGTGGGATAGCTGGATCTTGAGGTAGGTTGAGTCTCACCTTTCTGAGGAACTGCCACAGTGGCTGGACAAGTGCACTCCCAGCAGTAATGGGAGTGTTCCCTTGCTCTACATCCTCACCAGCATCTGCTGTCATTTGTTTTATTAATCTTGGCTATTCTGATTTAGGGTGAGATGGAATCTCAAAGTAGCTTTAATTTGCATTTCCCTAATGGCTTAAAAGTTGCCGAACATTTTAAGAAGTATTTCTCAGCCATTTGTGTTACATCTTTTGGGAATTCTGTTTGGTTCTATACCCTATTTGTAATTGGGTTTTTTGTTTTCATGATGGTGTGTGTGTGTGTGTGTGTGTGTGTGTGTGTGTGTGTGTGTGTGTGTGTTTCAAGAGAAGGTTTCTCTGTGCAGCCCTGGCTGTCCTGGAACTTGCTCTGTAGATCAGGCTGTCCTTGAACTCAGAAATCTGCCTCCCTCTGCCTCCCGAGTGCTGGAATTAAAGGTGTGCACCACCACTACTTGGAAATGTTCAATTTTTTTTTCTAGTCCTTTATACATTCTAGCTATTAACCCTCTCAGATGTCTAATTGGTAAAGATTTTTTTTAACACTCTGTAGGCTGCCACTTTGCTCAAATGATGATGTCCTTTGCTGTACAAGATTTTCAGTTTCATGAGGTCCTATACAGTAATTATTGATCTTAGTGCCTGTGTTATCAGTGTTCAGTTTAGAATGTCCGTTCCTGTGCCAGTAAGTTCAAGACTGTTCTTCACTTTCTCATCTGTCAGATTTAGTGTATCTGGTTTTATGCTGATGTCTTTGTTCTATTGGAGTTGAGTTTTGTACAGGGTGGTAAATAGTGGATCTATTCTCATTCTTCTGCATGCAGACATCCAGTTTGATAAGTACCATTTGTCGAAGATGCTGTCTTTTTTTTATGATAATCATATTTGTAACCATGTTAGTTATGTCTTCTAGGTATACATAGATATATTTCAGATAGATAGGTAATTTTCAAACACTTCATAGACCTAGAGAATATGGCATTTAAATAACTTAGAATTCTGTTGAC